AGTCTCGCCTTGCTGCGCATGTAAGCACACGCATTTGAAGCTTTCATAATATGTAGTTAAAAACATTTTATAGTGACAGACACAGGTGGAAAGCTTATTAAAATTGAAACGGCCTAGTATTTTGAAAATCGGATGTGGTACTGCCAGACGTATATCAAAAATCGAGCTTCAATTCAACAGTATTGATAATAGTATTCGCTATAAAAACTAACCCACTGTGTTTCCTCCAGAATAATAGAATATTTACTGCTTACTTGTTTGTTCGAGGATCTGACACGACGCGCAAAGGAGTTTAGGAATCCCGCCAAAACTTGGCTTTATTAAATTAATAAATTATTACAGTAATTACAGTAATAATTCCGTATTTTAAAGATTCCGGCTTTTCTCGTTCCGGGTTTTAAAGATTCCGGCTTTTCTCATTCCGGGTTTTAAAGATTCTTAAAGAAAACTTGCTCGTCTTTAACCGGCTTAATTGTCACCTTGACAGAGCTATTTTTAAAACCATTGTTTATATGAACTTGCAACCATTCAAAATCTTTCATGATGCTGATCAACCAATCAGATTTCCCGTCCACCAGATGGATTTAACCCCATATCCGTTCCGTTCCGCATTTTAACCCCATATCCGTTCCGTTCCGCATTTTAACCCCATATCCGTTCCGTTCCGCATTTTAACCCCATCCGTTCCGTTCCGCATTTTAACCCAATCCGTTCCATTCCGCATTTTAACCCCCATCCGTTCCGCATTTTAACCCCATCCATTCCGCATTTTAACCCCATCCGTTCCACATTTTAACCCCATCCGTTCCGCATCCGCTTCCGCGTTTTAACCTAACCCTTATTCTCGCCCTGGCTGCTCGTCCAATTTTGGCAAAATTTCCAAACATCACTCGTACTAGTAATCCCTAATTGTACTCGTCATCGCATGATCACTATACTAATTATCCTTTTATTCTCTTTCTTTTACAGCGAAATTAACTATGCGATAACTAAAACGAAGGAAAACTACGAGAACATGTTGTATAGAGAAGTCGTTAAGTCTGGTTTCTTCGAGTTTCAAGCAGCTCGAGATCGTTATCGGGAAATGTCGACGGAAGGAATGCATCGCGATCTTGTTTTTAGGTTTATAGAAGTTCAAGTGTTGTTGTTAGCACCGATATGTCCACATATTTGTGAGCATATCTGGAAACTGATAGGTCATGTAAGTATTTCAAAGAGTATGAGTACGGTGGGTATTAGCCATTTCCCAAAGTCCTGGGTCTAGTCGCGCGAATCCCTTGTTGGAGGGACAAGAAATATGGCAGCACACATTTAAATTAAAAGTTTAATCTAAAAAGGAGATATTTCATTTTTGGTCGTGTCAAAAAGTTGATATTTGATAGTAGATACTTCTTGACGCCTGTTTCCATATATTTTGTGGTGATCGCTAGATAGTATACTTCAAAATAAGGTTTCCGTTTTTATAACGTAGAAAAAACTACTAATACTAACCCTCGCCCTAACCCCTAACCTAAACCCTAACCTAACCCTAATTTATTTTAATTATTTTAAAAATTGATATAAAAACGGAAACCTTATTTTGAAGTATACTATCTAGCAATTGCCTATATTTTGTCCCTCCAAACGATCCCAGAATGCACTGTGATCTCTTTTGGGAAAAGGCTAATACTGTAGCTTTGCTCAAAGTGATTCTTCAAATATGATCAAGACTTGAGAGATGTACAGAGTACGAAAAGGCAGAAATTTGATTACACATGGTATAGTTGGCCAATCCATGAGGGTTCGTAGCGGTGTAGGTCTTTATCGTCTTTGAAAAGTCTTTGTGCAAGTAGGCAGAAAAAATCTTCGATATGCCTTTGAATATTTCTTGGTCTTGGAGACTTGGAGACTACACGCGTAAAAATCTCACATCTTGTTGACAAAATGTATTGGCAGTCTGCTTGTCCCCAGTTCTTGACAAGTCTGGAACAAGTTGTTATCATCTTGATGAGGCCAGCCCATTGGCAACAGGATGTTTCAGCAAGTCTGATATCGTCTGCACGTAACAAGTTGTGAACAAGTTGCTGACAACAAGCTTGTAGCAACTTGTTACAAACAGCCTGTATTATTTGAACAACATGTAGCAAGTCTGTCACCGTCATCGACCTTAGCACAGACCAATAGCACAGCTGTAATACGGCAATAAATATCACTCCGTTTTTTTAAAGTGCCTATATCACTTGTGGGACCTTTATGGATTTGAACAGAGCGTAAAAAGTTAGTTAATAAGTTCAAAAGATTTTTTCATTTAATGCAAAGAGTGCAATATTAGTGTTTAGAGGCCTGTAGAAGATACAGGCCTCTAAACTACATACAGTTCCTGAGTCCCAGGCTTCTATGCACAATGGACCGTTTGGAAAAAGGCGAAATTCAATAGCCGTGTTTAGAGCCCAGTAGGCTGGGACGCAGGAACAGTCCGTTGTTTAAAGGCCTATATCCTCATAACTATTGCACACTAAATAAAAAAATTCTTTTGAACTTATTAACTAACTTTTTACGCTCTTTTCAAATCCATAAAGGCCCCACAATTGATATAGGCACTTTAAGTCTGTGGCTAATAAAGTTTCAGTCATTCAATCAACCATACAAGTTTCAAAATACAAGTTTTAATATATTAATTAGCATATGAATAGGAAGCGAAATGACATTTCTATCTTTATGAGCCTATATGTCCTATTTTTTTCAGGAGAAAAGTATAATGTATGCATCATGGCCTCAACATGAAGGTATTGATGAATCGTATTTAAAAGCTTCATCATATATCGCTGACTCAGCACATGAATTCCGCTTGAGAATCAAATCCATGATGACAGCAAAAGGAAAAAAGGTATGTTATTGGTCTGATATGTTTGATATAAGAGTATCATACACTTCGTATGATTAGTGACTTTTCCCGCGTATTTGGAAGGCGTGGGGTTAAAAACGGCAATGACAACAAAAAATTTTATTGTCGCATTTGAAAGAACGTTTAAAATTGTCAATAAGTCTTGTCATAGATTTTTCAATATCTTGTTTGATTCTTGAAATATTTTGACTGAAAGCAATGAGCTGTCCGCCATCTTAGATTATGAGGATATGTATATATATATTACGTCACAAGTGGGGTCACACAAGATTTTTAGCTTGACAGCCAACAATCAGCTCAATTTCCATATTAACAATCTGAATTTTTAACAAAGTTAATTTTAATCCTAATCTTAATCCTAAGCCTAATCCTAACACTAACCCTAATCCCAACCCTAATCCTAACCAGAACCCTAATCCAAACCCTAACCCTTAATCCTAACGCTAATCCTCTGACGTAACTTCGGGAAAGTAATATGGAAAGTCACCCCAACAATCACTATGAACCCGAAACTCGTTTTTACTTGCCGTGTCAAATTTCGATTTGAATCTAAAAAATTTAAACAACTTTTGATGTACTATTTAAAACATGCGCATGCAGCAGTGTTTTATCAGAGATATAAAACGATCGATCTAGTAAGTTCATACTGATTGGCGAAGTAATTTTCAAAAAATTCGTTGTGTATAAGTCGAGAAAATCAAAGTTAAAGTTTATGTAAATCAAGGGAAATCTCTATCACATATAAAGATACGACACGTTCATGATTTTTCTTTGTGTTTTCCTCATGAATTCTTAATGAGTTTTTGAATGTTACTCAGCAACTTAGATGTAATTTTATAAAGCTAACCCAGCTCCTGATATAATCAAATTGTACAAAGTGGAAATACAAATCTGCAAAATAAATTACTCTACATGAATCTCTAAGACTTGTTTCATACGTCACATTGTCGTCGAATTTAATTCAGTCAAATTTAATTGAACGCGACGGTAGTGCGTCATATATGAAACGTCGAATTGAGTTCTTCTGATGAATTAAATTTGTCCAAGACGTTTTGTCCGTCATGGTCAGCCGGGTACAACGTCTGTACCCCTCTTCGTTTCATACAACGTCGTATCGTCGTGTCGAATTAAAAAATTTTTAACGTTTGTT